AATGTTAATTATGATGGTTTGAAGACTCTGTTACCTGGATGTAGAAAACTTAAAAATTTCGAGTTTACTTTTGCAATAGAACTGAATGATGAAATGGCACATTCAATTTCCCCACTATTTCCACAATTAGAATCTTTTAGTCTAAGAATTTTTGGTCGAAACAATTTCCCACAATTCATGTTATCGTGGGCTCAAATGCAGACACAACTCCGTGAAATAGTTCTTTCTCTCGGTGAAGGACTTAAAGATGAATGCTTTATTCCAATTACACAATATTGTAATAAATTGGAATCGGTCACTCTTTGGTGGTGCAGTGGTTTCACCGATTTAGCGTTTCAATCATTAGCTTACAACAGAAACATTGGCTTGAAACGTCTTCAATTTTATCATGTTAAAGATTTAACGGATGTTGGTTTTTTGAGAGCTATTGCTGATAATTGTCCAAGATTGCAAGAACTTCATTTGATACATTGCGAGAGCTTAACGAAAGATTCTTTGGTAAAAATTGCTAGAGATTGCAAAAGTCTTGTCACCTTTAATGCTGAGTTCTGTTCGAGAAGATCTTTTGCATAATGTCTGTAACAGTAATATTATTAATTTAAAAGTCTTTTTGAACGTCACATTAGCGCTAGTACAATTGCCTCCCGCTATAGTCACACCCGCCACAATTAATTATCACGTTTGACGCAATCCTATACTATGCGTACACTAATAATTGATTACGTAATTAATTTATCTAAATTATTTTTTTATATAAAATTCTAATCTCAAGTCGAAATTTATATAATTATAATTTAATTTCCCCAATTTTCTTTATTACCAAACATAATAAAAACATTATATATTATTTATTTTCGGTTTTATTAAAAATGTACTACAGATTTTGAACTCCGTAATTTAGTATTGTTAATTTGACATAAATCAATAGGGATTGGACATATGCTAAATTTCAATTGAGAATGCGTCTGCGTCTACTTAGTCCAATTGACAACACTGCTATTATTATATCTCATAAACTAGCTAATTAATTAATTAATACTTAGTGTTCTAAATAAAAATATTTAGTTTTAAATTTTATTAGCCAAAATATTATATTACAAAATAATACATACCGTATAACGACCATGGGCGTTATTTCGAGGTTCGGCCCGAATTAAGCTTAATTTAGGCCGGAATTCATAATTTCACCCCT